GTACGCTTAATTATAATACAAGAAAAAAAATTAAAATATTTTTTTTGTTTTTTAAAAAAACCATAACATTGTATGTTTAAACATAATATCAGAAAAAAAATTCAAAATGATTTTTTTTTTAAATTTTTTTAAAAAAAAAATGGTGACATAGTACACTTAAACATAATATAAGGAAAAAAATCAAAATAAATTTTTTATAAGTGAACTCTACAAAGGAGAGTATTTGTGTCATTTTCTTTACTTATACCATTAGTGAATTTATACTAGTAAATAATACCACCTGATAGGTGGTATTCAATAAAGTCGTGTACAAGAGATAAATATTACTGTACAAACCAGGTTAGTATTGTAACCCCAAAAATAATATTAAACATAAAATGTCAACCAAACAAGATAATAAATGGGTAATAACTATTTATATAACTATTAACTTTATGCATAGTAAGGACCAAACAAGGTAAAACCTATTTATACATGGTTTAATGAAAAATAATTGATAAATATGTAAATCTTTATAAAATTCAAGGATAAAATGATAAAAAGTGTGTTTCCGTCACTTTTATTAGCCGACCAACACTAATAAGGGAGTGCAGTGAAGTTTCAGAAAAATAAGAGGGATACACTTTCTATTCTTCAAAGATGAAAAGTAAGAAGGATACACTTTCCTTCCTTTATGTTTGGTTGGATGGATAAAAAATAAAAATAACTATTTTTTTTGTGGTAACTAAAATTAGGGGTGACAATCAAGTCGTGTCTTGTCAAATTCGTGTTCAGTCATTATGGTTTGTGTCGAATATTAATTAAACATAACTTAACTTATTTAACTAATTGTGTTGTGTCGAGTTGCGAGTTGACCTGTTTATTTTTGTATCGAGTTTGAGTCGTGTCATCATGTTGATTCAAAAAATTTTACCTTTAGTTAAGATGAAAAAATATATTTTTTTTTAATTTAAATTTTTAATTTTTAATTTTATTTTTATATATATATATATATATATATATATATATATATATATATATATATATATATATATATATATATTACTATTGTATTTTTATATGAAATTAATATATATACATAATATATGTATATATAAAAAGATATATAAACAAATAAGATTTATTTGAACATAAATAATTAACTTTCCATCTACTTTACTTCCGATTTTAGAGGGATTGATTTTGATAAATTGGAAGGAAAGTTAATTCATCTATTTTTTTATCCTTCCTACTTTCTTTTCTTATCAAACATGATATTTTATTTATCACTTCAATTTTTTATTCTCTCACTTTTTTATCGTACCAAACAAAATATTAAAAAAACTCTAATAATAGGGAGTCTTGTATAAAAGTTACCATCGGGAGACATCACAGTCCGAATAAAAGAACGGGAGATAAAATTATAGACAATTTAAAAATGAGATGACTCCCTAGCCAAGTCAGCAACGTCCTCGATGAGAAAAGGAGTTAAGACCCCGCCCCTCACCCCAGAGGAGTCTAGCCTCCTTACTAGCAGAAGAGAAAGTGACTCCTTATATGAAAGGAGTCTGGCCTTCTTGAAAGACGGACAAGGAGCTCAGTCTCCTCTCATAGAAGAAGTCTAACCTCCTAACGACGGATAAGAGAGCTCAGAGTCAATTGTCCAAGGCAAACTAATCCCTAAACTATAGAAAAAGCTTTGGGAAAACATGAAAAAGTACAGAATTCTAGCTCCAAAAGTCACTCTCTACCTCTTTCAATAAAAGACTAACTTGAGCAGTGGAGGTTCGACCACTAGAGGCCCTTTTGATCTTCGATTTCCTTTCAAGATTTTAGAGTAGAGATGTCAAATATGACGAGTTAAACGTGACGGGTGAAAAATATATAAATTCATACACAATATGTTTAATAAATTAGTGAAAAATTTTAATACGAATACGATCCGTTTAATAAACATATAATACGACACGACTCATTTAACTCATTTAATTTAAAAAAAAATTATATCAACAAATTTTAATATATAATTTTTTTTAACTGTCAAATGTATTTACCTCAAAAAAAGGAAATTTTAATCAAATTTTACATAAAAATCATACTTGAAAGTTTAAAAAAAAAAGACAAGAGACTGTCTTTTATAGACAAGACAACTCTCCCCATCTCCCCTCATTTGCCGATGTGGTACAAAAACAAAAGAGGTTAATTTGTCTTTGTCATGAACTACCCCCCACCATCTCCCTTCTTTGTCTTTGATTTACTATTTTATTTATTTATTTTTATTATTAATTTCTTTACTCTTTTTTTCTGATTAATTTTTTAAAATAATTATTAATTTATTATTATATTAATTTTAATTAAATAGATAAACATATGATAAACAGTTTGATAGGTCTCACTCGAATACGACCCGTTTATTAAACGTGTCTGAATAGTCAATCCGTTTACCACTTAAACTCGTTAAGATCTCACTCAAACTCTCTTAATTTGTGTCGATTGTATCGATTAATCGTGTCGTATCAACTCTTAATTTGTGTCGATTCATATTAATGAATCGTATCGTATCAAATTTTGACTGACTTATTTTAGAACTCTGTCAATTGAAGTGGACCATCAAAAAATTGACGTGAATCTCTAAAGAACTGAGAGTTCAAACAAATTTACGGGTAGGTTGATGAAAACTTTGCACCAACACTTGGTAAAGTGACCAATAATGAGCAAACAAAAAATAAAAAAAAATCGAGTTATGAATTTGTTGGACAGAATATTAACTCATCCTAGCTGGCTATTGTAACGGTTAGGATTGTAGTTACAACACAGTCATCCCGATAAAACCAAAGTGAAAATGACCAAAAGCTCCATGCGATGGACTCATTGATTCACATCATAAGTGAAGTTACGAATACCACGTGTGCTTCTTACCTAGCGAGTGTATTTCTCGTTTATTTTCTGAGGGACGCTATTGGGACCTTAGTGCCTTAATTTAAAATTTTAATGACTTGATTTCAATGTATTACTAAATTATTTGTGAGTTTTAATATTAAATAAAATTTATCATCAATCTAATAATTATATTAAATTAGATCTTTAAATTAAGTGTTCAAATTAAATCTAAACTAGAGTTTATTGCTCCCTCTCTCACACACATAGAGAGAGAGAGAGAGATGACATGATGGGTTGAAACTGCTGAAACTACCCGGTACAAGAAACTCCCACAATCGGCAAAAAAACAAAAAAAAAATTTGGGAAGGAAATATGAAGAAATCGAAATCCCAAAAATCAAACAGTTGTGATCTGATGTCCGTTAGTGTTTCCCCCTCTGGCTGCTTGCTTTGATTGGTTTTTTGCTGTTCTTGGTTCTTGTCTTCTGCTTATCTATACCCATCCAGGCACCCACTGTACAACTCTCTCTCTCTCTCTCTCTCTCTCATTCCGTACTGCTACAAGGGACTAGTATTTCCCTTTATTCCATATATGTCTTTGACGTTCGAAAGGGCTCATGGAACGAGGTTGAGGTTCTTCTCCTTCGGGGGCTCCTACCTTTCTTTCTTTTAAGCCTTCTGCCATACTCTTTTGTCTTTCCACGTTCCATCATATCAACTCTCAAGGAAGACACAGATGGACGTAGAGATAAGAGAGTGACTTTAAAAATATAGGACTTGATTAGCCAAAAAAAAATTTGTACCGTACCTCCAAAATTTATTAGTTTAAAAGATATTTTTATAATTTTTGTGATTCATTTTAGAACTAAAATATTTACCATTTTCATAAATAATTTATCACTTTTATAAGTATTTTCACTATTAAAAATATGAAAAAATTCAACATTTAATTTACAATGTTTAACTTAAATGTCATTAAAATTGGCGTTTATTTTTACATGCCAGAAATTATTAATAAAAAACTTTTTTTTTTTGCTTAATTTCTGACATTTAAGTTAAACACCACAAATTATTAATAAAAAAAAATTTCGCTTCATTTTCGGCCTTTAACTAAAACGCCACAAATTTTAAATTAAAAATAATAAAAAAACCTTTTTTCCCTTTCCCAACATAAACATAAATTTTTCCCCAATCTCTCGACTTCTCTCTCTCTCTGAGACGATCTCCTCTTTGAGTGTTTGAATAGCAATTTTTTTCTTGCAAACTTATTTTTTTCCTACACAGAACTCCGTTGATTTTTCCCTGGAGACGTCCTTCTCTCTCCTCCTCTCTCTCTCTCTCTCACGTCCAGATCTGTGAGATTCACATACGCAACACTCTCTGTCCAAAGTCGAATCTTATAAACACTCTCTGTTTAAATTCATTTGAACACTCATTCGAGATTAACTCAGGCGTCAGGCAATTTCGACTACCTCAGGCAACTCCAAAGTCTCCAGCGATTATCCAACTAAGTATGTTTCAATTGTGTGAATCTAAATTTAAATACGCATGTTTAAATTACTGGTTTGATTACATATTTTATACTTTCTCATCTCTTTCCCTGCATCCCTCTGTCTCCTTCAAGCAAATCTCACTCACACACACACCGCCCCACCCTCCACCTGTTTGATTAAATGCCTGAAAGAAATTGGTGTTGATTACAATTGCCATATTTGGCAATACTGACGCCTAGTGTCTTATATCGAAAACCCCTCCTTCGTCCCTCTCTTTCGGGTGAATACACTGATGTAAGATATTACATTTGGATAAATTACACTGATGTATGATATGGAGTACAATTTAATGTGATGATCCCAGATCTGATTTTATTTGGAGCTATTACAAATATGCCAGGAGTGTAATTACCGTAATGATATTCGTGTGCCTTTGTAATTACTTAATTTTTTAGTGGTTACAAGTTATACTACGTTTAAAAACAGGATACATGGGAGTCAATTAGTACAGCAACTAGTTTTTGGCGTTTAAATAAAAACTTAAACGCCAGTAATGATAATTAATATTTTTTTATAATAAAACTTAGCTCATTGCATTTTCACTTTTTTTTTTTGGCAGGAGAGAGAGAGAAAAAACACTCATAACCATGCCCATATTAATAATAAGTCTTACATAAAATTCCAACAAAACCAAATTGTCATAATCCGAATGTTTACAAAAAGTAAAGATTTGACCATCCAGCAGAAGTACAAAAACATGCAATTAAAACCTCCAGAATTCATCATGGTGTTAACATATTATATACATCGACAAGCCAACATCGCCATTGATACTGCATTATATTTCTGCCCCAACCAATCAGAAATGATGTGGGCCACCGAGAGGGTGACGACGTTCGCTGAAACAATCTTGCAGCAGAGGCAGGATAAGCTGCAATTCCAAATAATTAGGCTCCAACAAGTTTTCCAATGATCAAACAAATTGAACCCAGCTATAATAATTAGCATTCAACAGAATTTCATTCGTAGAAAAAAAAATACTCAAATTGAATATGTCAGCAAGTTTCATATTTTATCACCAGCAGTTTCAGATTTTTTTTTCGAAAAATAAAAATTCAATTGAACAAAAAGAGAACAAGAAAGGAGAATGACCCTTACAAAAACCAACTGGGCCATTCTAGAACCATGACGAACCCCAAACAAGCCATGAGAAAAGAACAATGGCCAACCAACACAAGAAAATAAGAAGTGCCCAGGAGAAAGAATTTAGTAGGAAGTGGAGGCCTTGAGCTTAAACTTCCAACTAAATTCCTCACCATAGATTCAAACAATCTGAAAAAACAGAAAAATCCACACTAACATGTGCTGCAGACAGAGCAGAAAACAATGGGGATGCCTAACATACTGTGAGCAGACAGAGCAGAAGACACCACTGTCATACTGTAAGCAGACAGAGCAGAAAACACCAAGGCAACAGTGGGCAGCACCGTAGGGACAACACCAAATGGATAGCACCAAAGGGAAACCATCTCATGAACTAAAAGCAACAAGAGGGAAGGTTCCACAACTGGAACAAAACACCCAAATAACCCATAGCAGTTTTAGAAAATTAACATTTCAATGCCCAATATTTTTTTCTGTCAAAGGATAAGTGTTATAAGTGTCATGGACCCTAATTCCTAATAGTTTAGTCAAATTATAGCATAGCACGTCAAGATCACAAGAAATAAGAGGCCTATAAGCATCAAAGTCACTCTTATTCACTATTTTACCATCTAAATAGTATGAACTTAATGAAGCAGAGAGAAGATGATAAGCCAACCTTCGCTTTTGCCTGCAACTTATCCACAAACACAACATACTACTTCATTTTGTAATCTTTCGAATTACCTAGAGCACCACCATTGCCTATTTACCAACTATGGACAGATCCATGGCATAGAAGAGGGAGAGTCACTTGGGTGGGAATTTCGCTGGATTGTTATTAACATGCTGCAATTTCGCTCTCTTTTGTCAATGAATCTACATTTAATATAAATTAACACATGAATTCCACACAAAACAATAAAAATGAACATATTTGTATTTCCAATAACACAAATTCAATGCAATCAGAAAATCCAACAAGCATAAAATCAACGTAATAATCACCACTCTTTTCATTTCCCAATATCAGGCAATCTAAATAAAGCACAAAAAATGGAATAAAATCGCTGGAACTGTGGTAAATAAATTAATCACATAAGCAAAAAATGGAATCACAACTTCCAGGATCTGGATGATGCTTTGTTTTGTGCTTGTGTCCGCCGGTGCAAACCCAACTTCTGTCCTTATCTATAGATACGAATCCTGATATATTATCAACAGATATCACCACTGCCTCCCTGTTATTCAGAATTTATTATTCTTTTGAACTTGGAACAGAAAAACTAAACCTAAGCTTCTCTTCTTTTCTGTTCGTTGCTTGTGCCTATTGAGCTTAAATGTAACTTTATGCTCATATTGTTTGTAGTAATAAAAAATGGAAGTAGCAAAACTAAGACAAAACAGGACAAAGAATCTAATACACCAAAATTACAATGTTCTAATACGCACTGATTCAATTGCATTACGGAGCCGACGACACATCCGTTGACGCCTCTACATGTGACGAGTCCCAATGAATGGCATCTCTGGTAATTGACTCCCATGTATCCTGTTTTTGAATGTATCAGAACTTGTAACCATCTGAAAAATTAAGTAATTACAAAGGCACACGAATATCATAAGGGTAATTATACTCTTGGCATATTTGTAACAGCACTAAATAAATTCAGGTCTGGGATCATCACATCAAATTGTACTCCATATCATACATCAGTGTAATTTACCCAAATTTAATATCTTACAGTAGTGTATTCGCCCGAAGAGAGGGATGAAGGAGGGGTTTTCGATATAGGACACTGGGCGTCAGTATTGCCAAATATGGCAACCGTAATCAACACCAAATTCTTTCAGACATTTTATCAAACAGGTGGAGGGTGGGGAGGTGTGTGAGTGAGATTTGCTGGGAGGCAGAGAGAGAGATGAGAAAGTAGAAAATATGTAATCAAACCAGTAATTTAAACATGCGTATTTAAATTCAGATTCACACAATTGAAACATACTCAGTTGGAAAATCACCAGAGACTTTGGAGCTGCCTGAGGTAGTCGGAATTGCCTGTTGCCTGAGGTAGTCTCGAATGAGTGTTCGACTGAATTTGAACAAAGAGTGTTTATGAGATTCGACTTTGGACATAAAGTGTTTGAGTATGTGAATCTCACAGATCTGGATGTGAGAGAGAGAGAGAGAGAGGAGAGGGAAGGATGTTGCCAGGGAAAAATCAACGGAGTTCCGCAGGAAAAAATAAGTTTGCAAGAGAAAAATCGCTATTCAAACACTCAGAGAGGAGGAGTTCGTCGGATAGAGAGAGAAGTCAAGAGATTGGGGAAAATTTTAAGTTTATGTTGGGAGAGAAAATTTTTTTTTTATTATTATTTTTAATTTAAAATTTGTGGCATTTAACTTAAACGTCGAAAATAAACGTAATTTTTTTTATTATTTTTATTAATAATTTGTGGCATTTAACATAAACGTCGGAAATTAAGAGGAAAATTTTTTTTTTATTACTTTTAATAATAATTTCTGGTGCGTAAAAACAAACGACAGTTTTAATAGCGTTTAAATTAAATGTTAGATTTTCTCGTATTTCTTGCACAAATCTGGCCAGCCTCAGGGTCAGGCGTGGAAGATGAAATTTTCTTTCTCTGATATGGGTTGTCGTCACAATCTCATCTGTAGAAATATACTTCATTATTTTGCCTTTTGTTTTCTATTTCTCCTGATATCAAGCTCTATCCAACTGAGATTGATTGCTGAAGGTAAATGGGTTGCCAATAATTTTGGTGCTCTACACACAAAAGCACTTTTAAATTGCATTTCTGGCGGTAAAATTTTCTTGGTGTTCCTGTAAATTGCAGATGGAACAATTGTCGACCCACATAGCCATTCCCAAGTGAAAATTTGTTTCTCTCTCTCTCTCACACACACCATAATGACGCAATTTTGAGAGCTGAGATCGGTTCAAGGCCACTAAGGTGAGAGAGCAGGTGCGGTTCTTGCAACGCCCCCAAAATCCAACTTGAACGGCATTACAACATAAAAATCATTCACAACACGAGAGCAACTAATAATATCCATAATTAAGATAATTTCATTCATCATTTATAATATCTACAACGTTATCCAAAAAAATATGTTGAACTATGACATCTACATCCTAAAATAATATATCAAACTATGACAATTACATCTCAAAAGAATCAAGTTTCATCTTGCAGCGGAATAAACAAAATACATCTATTAGTGTACAAAAATATATCCCCTAATTTAAAACATGGAGAAATCAACTCTAGACATTCTCCTCGAGATCCACGTTTTCCTCCAATTGTGCTTCACAAGCCACCTGCTTATCAACTCCGAGCTATTTATCTAAACCAACATCTGAGAATGAATAATATTGTAGGGGGTGAGCACTAAACTCTGTAGCAACATCCTCCCAAACTCGAACAAGTTTTAGAAAACATATAAAACAGTTCGGTCTTACTTTACAAAATATCATACATAATTTTAAAAGAAAATAAGGACATTTCAATAGATCTCAAGTTTAAGCAAGAACAATAATTTAAATGAAAGTAATAAACATGTCGGAGTGATAGAAATCAAACAATCATTCAACAACGTAATCTCACATTCTCAAGTATATTGGTTGTTTCCTATGATTCTACACTCGTTTACCCCCCCATAATCACACAATTCCAAACATTTTAGAAAGGAAAAGGCGTATACCGTCTTTCACGGCATTGACAAATCCTTCCCAACAAAGGTGTACCATTCCTCAACTTCGAATTTACGTGAACAATAATAGTTGCTCTTACAAACAACAAACCACTACAAGTGTTAGGAAACCATCTCACCCCCACTAGGATAGACTAACCTCTAACACTCTACGGCAGTGCTAGAATGCAATTCAAGTCCATCACAACAACCATACAAGAGATGCAATAACAAACATTTTCTCAAATCAAAAGGAAATCCAAAATTCTCAAATTTCACAATTTGTATTACAAGAGAACAATTTAAGAAAAAAAAAGCAAGAGATCATCAACAATCCATTTTTATTGTTCATTACAAAGCACTAAAGTTTTGAAATCAAGAGTAAGGGAAAAATTAAGAGAAAAATTTATTTCTCTTGAAAACTAGGGTTTTATTGAGGAACTCCTACCTTGTTTTGTAGTTTGGGAAGAAACGTAGAAGATTTGATCTTTTCCACTTGAATCAACATTTGAATCTCTTGTGTTTTCCCTTCTTTCTTCCTCTTTAAGATTTCCTAGGGTTAAAAAGGTTGAAATGGGGCTAATAGATGCGTCATTATGCATTTATAGGGTGAAAAATAGACCGCAGATCTCAACTTAAAATTTCTGAAACTTACAGAGCATATCAGTATTGCGTACCGGTACAGTAACTTCTGGGCGTACTGGTACAATCTGTTCAGTTTTGCCTATTTCCTTTGTTTTTCATTTTCAATTCATTCCAACCTCTTCCAAAACTAACCTAAACTTATACAATATACATTTGAACATCAAACATAACTGGTACAAGTTCGATTACAAGACATTTCATATACTTACTTGCTACATATTAAAATAAAAGTGTGGGGTTTACAGTTTTTTGTGGGCATTTCTGTTTGAGTAATACTTTTGAGACTTAATTTATTAACCTAATTTGTAGACTTAATTCATTATGACCTTTGTTTGTAGGTCTCATCAAATATTAGAACTTGATATCAATCCAATAATTTCAATGAAGTGACATTATTAAGACAGTAAATTATATCAGATTTTTAGGTTCAAATAAATACTCTTTTCGTTTACTGCTTACAACCTGAGTTATTTAGGACTTGACCGAGAATAGTGACAAAAAAAAAAAAATTTATACTGCATCTCTAAAATTTATTATTTCAATGGATGTTTTTTTATAATTTTTGTAGGTCATTTTAAAACTAAAAATTTTATCATTTTTGTTGGTGATGTACCACTGTTGTGAGTGTTTTAATCAATATTGTGATAATTATTTTTACTGATTTTTTTCGGTACAAAAAAAATTATCATTTTTATGGATAATTTATCACATTTATGAATATTTTTATTAATGTTATGAATGTTTTTATCCCTATTGTAATTATTTTATCATTTTTTAGTACTACAATAATGATAAAAAACATTCAAAATTACGATAAAATATTCACAAATATGATAAATAGAGGTATAATATTGAATTTATTTTTTCGATACAATAGACAAATCCATATATTTAAATTATTTCTTGACTCAAATGTAGACTCAAATTTTGAGCCAAAATGGCCCAAAAAATTTCTCAAACCTTAGACTCAAAACATATACTAAATCAAGACAAAACTTATTCGAGACCCAAATTGAAGCAGACTTAAATTTATATCCAATTTTTAATGATAACTTTTTTAAACTATTCAAAACTAAAAAATTTCTTCGACGACTTGTTCTATACTACTTCTTGCCTCTTTTTACTATGCTGCTTCCATCTCCGACCACTATCGAAACTTTCACAAATTATTTGAAGACCTGTAGATAAATTTTTTCCTTTTCATCTTCTATTTTCTTAATTTTTTATATTTTTTAAAACCCTAATCACACCCATTGATATGAAAGTTTCAATTATTTTATCAAATATTTTGATTTGAATGACACAAAAAAATGCGTTTTGGGATAATAAGAAATTTTTTTAAAAGATTTGAGTAGATATTTGAGTTTGCACATTGAAATATTCTATATTAAATCAAGTTTTTTACTAAATTTTAAACTTAAATTTAAGTATAAATATAAGTCATGGTTGAAGATGCTCTTGTAAGTACTAGTTATGAATCCCAATTTAATTCAGAAAAAAGTGTTGTATCTAGTTTTGATAACACTCATATGTCATATATACATTGACTAGTCATATCCCGTGCTTGAAGGCACGAAAAATATAAAATTCGAGTGGCAAAAAAATTGATTCTACTATATTAAATAACAATTTTTTCCCTTCATTTATTTGATTACATCATTTAAAAATTTATTTTTATTCATTATTTTCTTAAAAATATTGACAAAATTTTATCAAAATATGTAATTCGATAAAATTTTCTCAACATGTGTATATTATCGTATATAATAATATCTCAAATAAAAATTATATTAAACTATAAATTAATTAAATGTTAAATGATTGAGCATGCGATAATATGGATGATGTGATGAAATTGAGGAGAAAAATATATAGCGGATAAAATTCAATTTGCTATATGATTTATTATGTAGATATTTCATACATTGATATTCATATTTATTAATAATCATTGGGCCTTAATGTCTCATAAATATGAGTCATCTACTATTTTTAGAGGAGAGTTAACGAGTTATATACCTAAATGTACTTTTCGTATCTTCACTTTTTTG